ATTGATTTAGTGACACTGTTTGTCTACGTCATCATTGTCATCTTGCGCACAGTCGTCTATTTTGTGCACTCTACAGTATCAAACAATCGCCTGTTAGCTATAGCTGGCTATTTGTATGGCCTGAACACTATGTTCCTAACACTYAGAGTGTTTGGACACATAATGGAGTCCTCGAAAAATACAGGCAGGATTCAAATCGCCTTATTTCAGATTATTGGTGCTGTTATTGCTATCTTYGGTCAGTTTGTAGCTACATTGTTAGCCTTTTCCTTTGCAATTACCAAAGTCTACGTAGTTGAAATCTCGTACAAAGCAATGGATAACTCAACTGCCCATGGGTAAGCACTATAATATTAAATGCAATTGCAAATGTCTTTAATGACATAGTCTCCTTCACGGTTMCCTGCGCCATCTTGRAAGGTAGCTTTGCAGCCTTTACATCGAAGCGAGRCAACCGTTGAGCGTGCAATGATAGRTACCTGTGAATAATTGYCTGTTGGTGTGAAAGAAGGTTTCTATCATTGCACGCTCAACGGTCGTCTCGCTTCGATGCAAAGGCACGGCTACCTTTCAAGATGGCGCAGAGAACCGTGAAGAAGACTATTAAGTTACAATCTTAGRCAAAATTGTGTCAGTGACAATATTTTGTGAAATTATTTTCAACTTTATGCAAGCTATGAATCAATCTTAATCAAAAAAATTATTTKAACTTTTCAAGGTTTTGTGAAAATAATGAAGACGGAATGCCATGGTAAGATTAGTATTTAGTTTTCATGTGTATCGAGAATTATGTGTTCCTACAGTAAASATTAGTAAAGTTCCAACTTAGTACATGCTTTCGCTGGTCAGCGGAAAATTGCTATGTCTGAACRTTCAAATTAAGATTTACCGAGAGAAGTATGGTACGAGTGCAATATCTGCATACAGACCTCGAGCTTGAGTGCAGTAGGTTGATTTACAACTCTCTTTATGCGTTATGATTTCTATTGTGTTTTGCCTTATGAATATTAATGAGATTTATATCTGTTTACATCACTTGAGCTTGAGTACAATGTCTGTATATGGAACTTGATTGTATAATAACTAGAATAATACACCTAATTGAAAAAACGTAGTCGTGTTCGAAAAGGTCACATCATAGAAGCTAAGACCAAAAAGGGATTTTGAGTACCACTAAATTGGGATTGCATATACGATGTACACTAAGCAAGTAGAGCTAGTAAGATTAACAGCATGCTAGTATTTTATGCTCGAGAGCTGTTTGTATGAAATTAGCCAAATTGTTTGTCTTCCCAAGTACCCTTTCGGTCTTAGCTTCTTTGGACCCGACAACGTTTCTTCAATTAGGTGTATAAGAGACCTTGTCAATGTAATAAAAGCATTTTTAATGAACTTTATCATTTCAAGCTGGTGGCGGTCACTGCTACATCTCGTTTGGTCCCTTCTCGGCATTGCAGATTTAGACCCCTTGAAGTCATCAGATGGCCCTTCCAATATACTTGCCCAACTCCTGTATGGCTTATTTCTCATAATGGCGGTAGTGATGATGATGAACATGATGATTGCTTTGCTGTCGAACACATATCAGCACGTCGAGGTATAGTCTCCTCTCGCAGTCGCTATGAKGCTCGTTCCCAGGTCTCTGACACCGTAAGAGGAAGAAACCTGGGATCATAGCCTTATAACGGCGTGCACAATAAATATTTATTGTAAGTATTACTCATAAGTCTATATTAATACTGAGATTTATTCCGTCATAATAAATGAAGTATATAGTGGGTTTGTATTATGACGTCAATATCTACATTTACCAGAATGCTTTGCCAACTTTATTATGCAATTAGTTCCAATTGTTTTGCTATTGAATTTCTACAACAACTGTAGAGATGCTGTAAAGACGACTCACTGGACGACAAGCATGCATTAATTGTTGAAAAAAAAGAACTTTGTATCGTCTAATTTTGTCTTTAGTTGATTACAGAGTTAATACAGTCAACTCTCTCGTAAGCGAACACCTCGGGATCAGAAAAAGTGGTCGCTTACGAGAGATGGTCGCTTACGAGAACTTTAGCACAGGAAACCCAAACAATGATAATCACAACACAGGAGGCCCAAATAGTTCAAAACACGTTGCTTATTTCAGTGTAGAAATGAGCAATGATACTGCTTCCATGCCATTCCGCAAATTATTGAAGTTGATTTTAATGTCCTAATTCTATTGTTTTTAATAGAATTAGGACATTATAGTGTATTTGATAGTTAATAGCACGCTTTTACGGTTTGTACTTTACATATGGAACTTATGGGGGACAAATAGTCCGTGATCACTCAAGCTTGACCTGATAGTCCGTATGAAGTGCCAAATTTGACGAAAAAAGGCCAGATTTCAAGGCTTTTTGAAGAAATGCGGCGACATTAAAAACAATCGTACAAACCTAGCACCGGATTTAAGAAATAAAATCTATATGCGACCTTTCTGGGTATTTTTCATGAGAAAATTCGAAAATCCAATCACGTATTTTTGCCCTTGAAGAGTTGAAGTTGAGCATTAAAATAGTATGGCGATCCATGTTTTCACCACAGTTCGCTCCAAAAAACTGGGCCTCGCGTATAACTTATTTTGTTAATAAAAAACCTAGCACCGGATTTAAGAAATAAAATGTATGTGTGACATTGCTGTGTATTTTTCGTGAGAAAATTTAAAAATCAAATCACGTATTTTCGCCTTTGAAGAGTTGGCGTTGCTTCGCATCCGTTTGCGTTTCGGGATTCCTGTCCCGACGATGAACGGATGCAAAGGAGACTACTTCTGTAGGCACAAGCAACAAAAATCAAACTTGAATTTTTCAAATTATTGCTTTCTTATTATATGTTGAAAATGTACTCAAAACTATGCAGTTTTGTGTTAATTCAATATTTGAAAAATTTATATCAGTCAGTGAACGTAACTGTGATATTATATGTACATGTACTTTCCTTTCTAGAGGTGACTTTGCTATTAATAGTATTTAATGGTCAGATGATGATGTTAATGAGGTCGATCGACGACAAAATATTAATTAAC